AATTAGATATTAACTTTTATTTAATTATTTTAATAAGATTTTTTTCATTTTAGATATCTCATGTTATGTAGTGTGGCATTTCAAGAGGGTGCAAATGCCACTGATCCCATAAAATATAATGTCCTAGAGAATCTCCTCGAAAACTTCCATTTTTCAATTCAAAATTTGATGAGGGATAAACAATTTTAAGCCAAAATAGTAACACAGTACGTGGTTAATCTCTTGTTAATTATTATAATTCTCTATTTAATTATTGTTTGTGCATGTAAATTGTATATATTGCAAATATATTATAGTAAGTAAGCCGATCAAATTTTATAATTGCATTTTATCACCAAGAAAAAAAAAATACAACAATGATCATTTTATGAACAGTTATATTATCTCTGTCTAAAATCTAAATAACATTGTGTCTAATTACCATTCTTTCAAATATAGAAGAAAAAAAAAGTATATATTATATTATTATTTTTCAACAACTTTTAAGACATGACGCTACTGGTACTAGTAAATGATTACTTCCATTACTTGACCTAATTTCTGAAACATGGTAAGCAGACGCGTTTATAGGTTTTGAATTTTATAATGATGATTTCAAATATTATTAACTGAGTTCTAAATTTAATATATGTATATATTTAATAAACTTCTTAATATAAATATGTTATTTAAACAACAATTACTGTGTTCGACCAAATATATCAATCTATACTCGAACTTTTAGCTCCACCCTGATAGTAAGGACATTGGAACCAATTAATGTTATGCAAATGTGAAAATGGATGCCTTTATATATTTTTTTAGGTTGTGACCACACCTATAGTACTGTTGGAAGTACTGATATGTCCAACGTTTGAAAGCTTCGAAAATGACCCAACACCGACCCAAACACTGTAATCACTACTGCGCTGGCGGGTCTGGCCTGGTCTCTACCCCGTCTCGCGTTTTTAATGTCTTGATCTTTACTTTTACTTCGAGCGATAAGGACCGCTTCCTCCGGCCTAAGTCAAAGAAATCTACTCTATGAAGGGGTGGAGTTGGATTTTTAGGTTATAGATTTATTGAATTCACTAATTTTAGGATGTGTCTGATTAATAATATATACAGTTTGGTTAATTAATTTATGTCTAAATGGTTAAAGTGTACACAAAATATGTATAGATAGTATTTGTATAAATGTGTATAATATATGTGTGTTTTTTATATAAGTATGCACAACGTATATACTGCGTACATATTTTGTAAATTAGAATACACAAAGACACTAAACTGTAATTTTTCCTTTTAAATAAAATATATAAAATAACTGAAGGTGCAAGAGGGGGTGAATTGCTTCTTCTTTTTTTACGTTTTTCTTTCTTTGAATAGTCGATCTGTGAGATTTACTGGTTGACTATTAGATTCAGAAATAAATACTCAACATGAAAGTGTGGAAAATAAGATTGACACGTGATGTGTTTATACTGTTTGGGATCCAATGTGGATCTTACATCCAGTCCCCTTCGATTGCACGAGTGTTCTCTTCTAACTTTTTGAATCTTTGTGATGACTACAACTATAGAGTATAGTTCCGATGTATACACTCAATCCTTTTCTTTCTTTTTTTCTTTTGATACACAGTCTTACCAACAATGTTTTTCACTCCTCTTTTTTTTTTTGTTTACAATGTAAAAACTACGTAATACAATGCTAGTTAAAAGTAGAGTAAAGAATGTGTGAAGATTCAGACTCCATGTATGAGTGTCTCCTTGGCATTCCTCGACCTTTTATAGGTTGTAGGCTTTTAAGACTTGAATCATCTTTTTGTGAAGAGATAGCTACCCAAGAGAATTGATCCTTGGAAAGAGGTAATTGGGAACACTTCTTTTTCAAGAATAAAGCAAAGGCTAATCTTCAGCTTCCTTTTCGTAATCTTTAGCTTTATTTTCTTGAGCGAGATTGACCTCTGTATTTATTCCTTGATGATTGTTTATCTTTTCTCAAGATTTGATTGAGGTCAGTTGTTACATAGCCATTTTACATGTCCTTTGATTGAAAATTTACTTCTTGTAGCCGTTTCAGTTTTCTTGAGTGAGATCGTAGTTGCCGCAATTACATGATTGTGCCTCATTTGTTTGGACCTGCTTGGTTCTTTTCTTTTTGATAGTTTGATATCCTACAAGGGTCCATAATTATTTTATCATTAAAATGAGGAAAAATTACATAAATCTCACCTTTTAGTTTACTTATTACCATTATCCCCTATAAGTTTTACAAAATCTCCAAAATCCCTCATTTTCGTGCATCAGATTAGTGTATCACGCGCATCAGATTAATGTATCATGTATAAAATGTACATCAGATTAGTGTATCATGTACAGATTAGTGCATCTTGCGCATCATATTAGTGTATCATGTATAAAATGTAATGTATCTTACTTAACGATTAATGTATCTCGCACATCAGATTAATGTATCAGCGCTTATACTATTGTATCCGTTTGAGGGATTTATGTAATTATAAACTTTTAAGGGATATATTGTAATTTTGCATTAAAAGTATGTGATTTCTGTAAATTCTTGCACTAACAATAACAATATCGATATTGCTCACTAGCATATCCTCAGAAAGATCCAATGGGCCTAGGAAAAAGCCCAAATGAGATAGACTGTTGCTTTGTGGGCCTCAGAAACATTTCTATTCAAAGCCCATTGAATCTTTTAGGAATTTTCCAATTTCCGCTATCTTTCATGGCCCAAAAGTAAAATTAATATTCATAGGTATATACATGGATATACAAGGAAATACAAGAATTTTGTCTTCAACCTCGAGTTTTTTATTTTTGATTAAATAAAACTCAAATCACACTTCTCAAAATGATTTAAAGGTCCTTGATATGCTTAAAACAAACTAATATATTACCTGATCGGAACAAATCATAAATATGCATATCGAAAAATTTGAACCAAGTTTCAATGGTCTTTACTATTACCGTGTCCAACAATGGTTGTCTACTATTGACTTTGCACACTTCTTAAGAAACTATAAATAGAAGGCTAATTTTATCATATCACTCTTTGAATATAATAAATACAATGTCTTGAAAACAGTTATAGAGAAATAACTATAATTAATGATATCGGTTAATTAGGAACTAAGTGTAAAATTATCCATTGGTTTCATAGAGTGCACAAGTATTGTTGGACATCCCAAAATAGTATAGTAGACAACTATTGTTGGACGAATGGAGTAGTGTTTTCTGATCATTTAAGCATTTTTGCTGGTACATTTAAGGTCCTTCTTTAAGTTCATTTTTTCCAAGTACATTTCTTTCATCACATATTTGTTCATTTAGTTGCAAGTTGGCATGAAAAAAAATCAACACTAGGTGATTTATTCTCATATGTTTAACCTTAGTAGATAAAGTTACCTAATACATGTTGTTAGTGGAAGGTGATAGTTATTAGTCAAGATACGTGTAAGCCAGCTCAGGCACTATCGTTATTAAATAAAAAAAAGGAATTTAAATACGAATTGGCAACATTAACTTGTTGGTTAAATATTTGAGAGTTTAACAAGAGAAAATAAATTTAAATCTCAGTTAATGAATTTTGAGTAGCAAATCTGTTATTGTCAATAAAAAGTAAATTTTTTGAGTTTAAATTATCCAACAAAGTCAATAAGAGGAAGTTAGGTTATTTGTTTATTTTTTTAAAATTTATAAATGTCAATATCTCTATAAATAAACAATATTCATAGACGTTATCGATTTGAATTGGGAATAAATGTTGTTTATACGTACTGGAAATAGTCTTAAAGAAGATCGTTGACAAAATTTGAAATTATTAAACGAAGAATTAAGTTAATTTTAAACAAGATTTGCAACTGAAAATCACATAAAAGTTTCTTTTGTGTTGTTAGAGATGTGTTATACACATTTATATAAGATAACATATACTGTATTTTATACGAAATAGATAAATATTATATAACAATCAATAAGGTTTTATAAATATTGTTATTAGGTATTAATTATGTTGTTATAATTGAAAAATATGATTGTGGTGCAAAATATTACTCATATTGAGCTGTAATTTTTGATATTTTCCTATTAACCGCGCACCATAGATCATAGTCTCAAGTAACCGAAGGACGAATCAAGGGCTGAAGTTGGATCCTCGAGCAGAGAGAAAAGAGAGTTTAATAAATATTGTTCGATCAAACTTTCTAATAATTGTTTATTTTGAAAATTGTGTGTTGTAAATAGCTCTATTTTTTCTAAAAAAATTAAAACTAAAATTCTTTTGGAGAGTAGTCTTTTAAATTTAGCTATTTTTTTATTAGGAATAAAATGTGTTTAAAAGTAAAGAAACAATACATTTATTAGAACAATGATATCTTTGACCTATAACAATAGATATTTTAAAATCAAATTATGAGTGAAAGGGTGATTTTTTGAACCAAACTATGGACAATAAAAATATTTTTAGATCAAGCTATTAACTGAAAGTATTTTTATTCAATTTTGCATAGTTTAAAAATATTCTTGATCCTTTCTCAATTTTTTTAAAAATAAATGAAAGTAGGGTTAACAATCTTTTCATTTTGATTTTGAAGATTGTAGGTTTATAGATATGTTAAATATTTAATGAATAATTAAAATATTAATTGATCAATTATGAATTAACCATTAAAAATTCACATGATTTCCCCAACCCTTAAAAATCACTTACAAACAACGCGACAAACAAAATCTAATGAAATATTTCTAAAATCATCGAGTAATTTAGGTTTAAAAATCAAATTCCATTAAATTAGATGCTACCCATTTAGAATTATTAACAGTACACAGTATATCCTATAAGTTATAACAAACATAAATCAATAATTCATTATCAATAAATTAATACTAACATTTTTTAATAAAAATTATCGATATGAATTCGATTTTGAAAAACCTGAACTTATAATGACGTGGCTAAAATAGTGTCCACTAACCCTAGTTCTAATTATGAACTGCTTCTGGAATCTTCTACAGTTTTCTCGACTCTGTTAGTTTTGCATTTTCCGGTCTTCTCCTGCACTTTCCTTCTCTCTTTCAATTTCTTTTTTTCTCCACAAAATCATATACTGAAGCAATCTTCAAGAACCATTTTTCTTCTTCTTTTGAAAAATCCAAATTTCTCAAAGTGAAGAAAAGGAAGAGAAACGAAGCAGTAGAAGAGAAGATGGGGGTTGATTATTACAAAGTATTGGGTGTTGATAAGAACGCTACAGATGATGATTTGAAGAAAGCTTATAGAAAACTTGCCATGAAATGGCATCCTGATAAGAACCCACAAAACAAAAAAGAAGCTGAAGCTAAGTTCAAACAGATCTCTGAAGCTTATGATGTATGTTTTCCAATTTTCCTTGTGGGTTTTGCTTAAAGTTTCAATCTTTTTTCGTTTATAGTCTAATGGGGTTCTAAATCTTTGTCTAAATGTTGATAAAATTGAGGTTTTAAAACGTCTAGTGTTTATAATCTTGCAAAAAGAATGATGGGTTTTGTGTTTTCTTGAAACCTAATTTGTGTATTTTTGTTGAAATGAACTTGTATAGGGTAAACTAATTGTTGGAATGCTTTGTTCTTAATCAATCACTGGTTTGAATTCTGAATTCACCAAGCAAATGATCTCATTCTTTTAGATCCGAACCAATTTTCATAATTTGGAAGTTTTATTGAGGTTTGAATCGAATTAAGGGTTTATTGATTTTTAACTTGGTGTACATTCAATGTGTTTGAATTGTGTAACTATCAATTATTACTGATAGATGACTAATGTTTTTCTGCATTAAATTTACTAGGTGCTTAGCGACTCCCAGAAAAAAGCTGTGTATGACCAGTATGGTGAAGAAGGGCTGAAGGGTGGGGTGCCACCGCCTGGAGCTGGTGGTCCCGGTGCCGGTTCAACCTACTTTTCTACTGGGGATGGCCCTACTTCGTTCAGATTCAACAGTAGAAATGCTGATGACATATTTGCTGAATTTTTCGGCTTTTCTACTCCATATGGACCTGGAGGGGGTAGGGGTTCAAGGTTTGGTAATATGTTCACTGATGATATATTCGCAGCATCCTTTGCTGAAGGAGGAGGTGGTGGTGGTGTTCCCATGCATCCATCAGTCCCAAGGAAAGAGGCTCCGGTACAACAGAACTTGCCTTGTAATCTTGAGGATCTCTACAAGGGTACCACCAAAAAGATGAAAATTTCTAGAGAAATTGCCGATTCGAGTGGGTAAGTATCAGGTTCTTACACTTCGTTTTACTGGTCAAGGTTAATCACTTTTGATGTTGAACTTCAATTTTCTACGTATGAAATTGGATTGGGCAAGTAATGGGGGTGTTCATACAGTCTGGTTAGTGTCTTGCCTTGGTGTTCATACAGTCTGGTTAGTGTCTTGCCTTGCTTGTTCATTAAATGTGGAACTTCAATTGTCTGCCGGCAATGTTGCACTGTTGGATGAATGATCATTTCGAATTACTGGGATTTGAACATGAGATCTCATGGCTCTCAACCACTTCATTGACCACTAGTCCACACCCTTGGGTGCCCTTTCAATTTCTTCAGCAAGTGTGTGGGAATTATTGAGGATAATGGAGTGGTTGGGGTAGTAGTTTTCTTACGTCATTAATTTTTGAGCAATTTGAAAGATTAGGATAGGCAGCCGCTAATGCTTGCATTTGGGTAGGCTGTCTGCATCACACCCTTGAGGTGCGGCCCTTCTCCAGACTCTGCATGGATGCAGGAGGCTTTGTGTGCTGGGCTGCCGAGGATAAACCTGTCAATTATTACCTTGTTAATTGCAAATTGCGGTGATTTATTCTTTTAGAACGTGAAGTTATTGATAAATTACTAACCTTGTGTTATGCCATTTTGTGACTATTTAGACTGTCAAATCTTGTCTAGTTGAAATAAGAGAACTATCATGTATGATTTCAGTTTGAGCTATGATCTATTAAGCCTAGCTGTAGTGATATTGCATTTTAGGTCGAGTTGGGTCCTTCAAACTCATTTATATTGAAAGCTGTAAGTGAATATGAAATCTTTGTAAGGAAAATTTTGAGGTCTATTTCTTGAGAGTCTGAATACACATTGTTGTTTGTCAGTGTCATTAAGCTAAGTTAACTTATTTCCTGTGTCTTTGCACTAGTTATTTGTCGTATCAGGATGCATTTCCGATTTAATCATTTGCGCTCTGAATTCCATTTGAGGCCCTCATTTCAAGTGGTTGTTTCGCCAGTGCCTTTACTAGATTTACTCCCATTGTGCTTTTGATATCTATTTGTCTACTGAACTTATACCGTTTCCTTGTGTTGGGTGCAGCAAGAGAATTGTGCAAGAGATTCTGACAATCGAAATTAAACCTGGTTGGAAGAAAGGTACAAAGATCACCTTCCAAGAAAAAGGGAATGAGCAGCCAGGTGTTATACCAGCTGATCTGGTCTTCATAATAGATGAGAAACCTCATAAGGTATTCTCGCGTGATGGAAATGACTTGATTGTCTCTCAAAAGATTTCTTTGGCTGAAGCGTTAACTGGTACTACGGTCCATCTCACTACTCTGGATGGAAGGAACTTAACAATTCCAATCAACAACGTGATTCAACCAAATTATGAACATGTCGTCCAAGGTGAAGGCATGCCGCTTCCAAAAGACCCGTCAAAGAAAGGGAATTTGAGGATCAAATTTGACATCAAGTTCCCTGCTCGTCTCACTATGGCTCAGAAATCTGGTATCAAAGAGCTGTTGGGTTCTTGAGCTTTATGCACAGCTTTGGTGCTGGTTTTGTTCTGTGTAAATATTTTCGTAAAACCATTTGAAGCTATGGAGTGGGGCGTTGGTTTAGGCTCGTAGACGAGTCTCTTCCTTAGCAAAGTAGAATTTTGTTCTTGTTTTTTATGGATATTGTTCAATGTATCCATTCAACAACAGGCAATACCTCTTCTTTTTTTGGAATAAGTCTTCAAAATTCACAGGCCTCGCAGCTGTTGAATCATTAGTGTTTTCTTGCATTGTCTGTTATGAATGTTTTCAGAAATAGAGAGGTTGGGTTTAAGTTAACTGCATGTGTGAATTATTTTAAGATGAAATTGAATTCGCAAGTGTTCCACCCTTCATTACTTTGTAGGTGTACATATAAATCTATCTAAGGAAATAAATTCAGAAAATATTCCTAAATATCTCTAAGATCCCTAAAAATCTCTACCTATAATTATGCTATGAGTAGATATGGCTATGTACATTTTGTAACACTCCAACTTGATCCCCCTCAAGTTGGAGCATAGATATTAATCATGCCCAACTTGTTATAAAGATATTCCACCCGAGTTTCATTCAAACCCTTCGTGAATATATCACCTAATTGCTCTCCTATCTTCACATAGCCAGTATAAATCACGTTCTCTTCAATCTTCTTACGGACAAAGTGACAATCGACCTCAATATGTTTTGTCCGTTCATGATACACTGTATTTGAGGCAATGTATAGAGCAGTCTGATTATCACACCAAAGTTTTGTTGGAAAAGAAGAATTCAAACCAACCTCAGCTAAAAGGTGTTGTATCCATAGTATTTCACATGTGTACTGAGCCATAGCTCTATATTCAAACTCTGCACTAGATCGAGATACAACATTTTATTTCTTACTCCTCCAAGATACTAGATTTTCACCAACAAAGACACAATAGCCAATAGTCGATCTTTTATCAATTCTTGATTCTGCCCAATCTGCATCTGCAAAACATTCAACACAAGTATGTCTGTGATCGCTATACAATATGCCAAGGCCAGGGGATCCTTTCAAATAACATAGAATTTGTTCCAAGGCAGCCCAATGTTTGACTGTTGGTATAGACATAAATTGACTAACAATACTGACTGCATAGGCAATATCTGGACGAGTCACAGTAAGGTAGTTTAGTTTCCCAACCAACCTTCTGTATCTTTCTGGATCATAAAAGGTTCAACATTATCCTTAGTAAGATATGCATTAGGAGCCATTGGTGTGCCACACGGTTTCGCTCCCAACTTACAAGTTTCTGCAAGTAGGTCAAGTACATACTTTCTTTGAGATAAGAAAATCCCATTCTTGCTTCTGACTACTTCTACACCTAAGAAGTATTTCAGCTGTCTCAAATCTTTGGTATGAAACTTGACATGTAAAAACTGCTTGAGAGAAGAAATTTTAGTACAATCATCTTCTGTAATCACAATATCATCAACATAGACAACTAGAAGAATAATACCAGTCATTGATTGTATGTAAAAGACTGAGTGATCACACTTGCTCTTCTTTAACCTAAATTCTTGAACTACATCTTTAAATTTTCCAAATCATGCACGAGGACCCTGCTTTAGACCATATAGAAATTTTCTTAGATGACAAACTTTTCCATACTCCCCCTGAGCAACAAACCTAGGTGGTTGCTCCATATACACCTCTTCATGCAGATCACCATGAAGGAAAGCATTCTTGATATCTAGTCGATGTAAAGACCAATGTTGAGAAGTAGACAAGGAAATAAACAAACGAACAGAGGTGAGCTTAGCTATAGGGGAGAAAGTGTCAGAATAATCTACCACATAAGTCTGAGCATAGCCTTTAGCCACAAGTCTAGCCTTAAGTCTTGCAATAGAACCATCAGGATTGACTTTGACGGTAAAAACCCATTTGCATCCTACTGCTTTCTTTCCCTTGGGTAAATTCACCAAATCCAAAGTATGATTTTCATCTAGAGCATGTATCTCTTCAAGCATTGCATTATGCCATCCAGAATGATTCAAGGCTTTTTTTATTGTTTTAGGGATAGTCACAGAGTCTAGAGAGCCAACCAAACAACTAGATGCAAGAGATAAGTGATCATAAAAAACAAAATTAGCTATGGAATATGCAGATTTGCACTGGCGTGTACCTTTCCGAAGAACAATAGGAAGGTCCAAATTTTCTGAAGGATCAAATGGAGAAGGATCTGATGATGGAGTTGATGTAGGGTATGTATCGTTAATCTCTTGCCTCCTTGAGTAAACTTGAACAATTGGTGGTCTTGTTGGTGCAGATTGAGTAGGTTGTGACGACACAATGGTCGATTGATGCTTAATAAAAGAACTAGGAGATAGAGGAACAATATCAGCTGATTATTCGGTTACAACACGAGTAACCTGATAGGATAACCACTCATCTTCCTCCTCCTGACTTGTAGAATTTGGAGGTGCATAAAAGAATGGTGTAGTCTCTGAAAATACCACATCAGTTGATACTAAATATTTACCAAGTTCAGTAGAATAACATTGATACCCCTTCTAAAGGCGAGAATAACCCAAGAAAACACACTTTAATGCTTTAGGATCCAACTTGGTAATAGATGGTCGAACATCTCGAACATAACATGTGCTTCCAAACACCTTAGGTTCCACTGGAAAGAATGATTTGTTTGGAAAAAGAATATTATACGGCATAACCAATACAGTTGATGGCATGCGATTGATCAGAAAACAAGCAGTAGAGATGGCATCAACCCAAAATTGCTTAGGAACCTTCATTTGGAACAACAGTGCCTGAGCTATCTCAAGTAGATGCATATTCTTTCTCTCGGCAACTCCATTTTGAGAGGGTGTAGCAACACATGAAGTTTGATGGAGAATACCATGTTGTCTCATGTAAGACCTAAATAATTCTGACATATATTCTTTAGCATTATCACTCATTAGAATACGCACTTTGGCATCAAATTGAGTTTTGACTTCAGCACAAAAGGCAAAAAAGTGAGTGAACACTTCAGATCTGCACTTCATAAAGTATATCCAAGTCATTCGAGAAAAATCACCTACAAAAGTGACAAAATATTTATGCCCAGTTTTGAAAACAACAGGACATGGTCCCCAAACATCAGAATGAACTAACTCAAAAGCTGACTCGACTCTTTTATTAACCCTTGGACCTAATGAGATGCGATGGTGTTTTGCAAATTGGCATGACTCACATTTCAATGAGAAAATATTCTGAAATTGAGGGCAAAGCTTTTTCAACAAAGGTAACGAAGGATGTCCTAGTCGACAATGTGCCTCAAATGGAGACACGACACTAGAGCAGGCAATAGATGGAGACTCCCACTCATCAAGAATATAAAGATCATCATAAACATGTCCTTTACCAATAACCTGATTTGTTATAAGATCACGAAACAAACAATAATCGGGAAAGAACGAGATATAACAATTAAGTTCTCTCATAACTTTACTAACAGAAATCATATTAAATGCCAATTTTGGTAGACTTAGTACAGATGACAAAGTAATAGACGAGGTTGGTTGAACAGTACCGAATCCAACACTATTACAAGTTGATCCATCAGCTACAGTAACAGGAGATGTTGCTTTGTGTGATCTAAAGCTAGAGAAAATATTAGGATTCCCTGTCATATATGAATTGTTCACCTGAATCGATTACCTATTTATTAGAAGAGTTGATAAGACATGTTTTATCTGACCTAACAAAGGAAATAACAAAGCGGATTCCTTCAAAGATTTCTGATATTGAGAAAATTTGGCAAACTCCTCAATCGAAATCAAAACCATTTTGTCGGATAATGAACGTGAAGCAGCAACTTTTAATCAATTTGTCATTTTACCAACTATATTTGAAAGTGTTTCAAAATCCCCAAACAAACAAACAACAGCCTAATAACACAATAAAAAAGAAACTGACAGTAGCCAAACTCGATGGCCCTCTGGAAATAATTTCCCAAATAAGCTTCAAATAGCCTCCAACAAACAATATCAACTCACAAGTTGGTCAAGCAACAATTCCACTGTTGCACTCATACACAATTTCCATAAACAAGAATAATTAGCAACAAACAGAGAAGTCTCAAACCTGGCCAATTTCCTTGTTATAGTATTCCAAGAATAAGAGCTATTTGTAGGTGTACATGTAAATCTATCTAAGGAAATAAAATCAGAAAATATCTCTAAGATCCCTAAAGATCTCTACCTATAATTATGCTATGAGTAGATATGACTATGTACATTTTGTAACACGACCCAAGGTGCCGAGACCAAGTGTTCCACCCTTCTTTACTTTGCAACCAGCTTCCGACCCAAGGTGCCGGGACCAGCAGCAAAATGGTAGTATGCACATGTAAACAGATAGCATTATTTGTGTGAGTATTGACAACATATGCACAGGTAAAGAACGCCAAATATATAACCACATTAGATTACATGAGATGTAATACTAATACATATGTTAGTGTAAAGAGGAGCACTGTACTATTTTCAAGTTGGATGCTAACTATAAACAGTTAGAATTAGAACTAATGATTCTTTCACAACAACATTATCGCTTCTTGAAGAGCGCAAGACACGTAGAGAATATATCCATCAACCTTCCTCTCTTTCGCGCTCATGAGGAGAAAATACCCTTTGGGTTCCACTGCAGTGTTCAAGAACTGTTGTCAATCACTATACTCGGAAGATGATTCTGAATCTTTATTTGGGGTTTCAACAAGATCTTCATCCATATATCTATCCCCCTCTTCATCAGACTCGCCATCAAAGTATCTTTGGACATTTTTATTGGCCAATCCATCTTCCTCATCCTCTTCATCATGGTCATCCTCGTAATCACCAATACCATCTCCATCTACAGCAGTTTCAGTATAACGTTGGCCAATGCTGTAACTCACACTGGTTGATGCATGATCATTTCTACCACTGAAAGAACCGTAGTCAACAACCGTTATGTCTTCATAATCATTGACGGTTGTTTGGCCTTTATAATCTTCACTTCCTGATGTTCCAGAATCACTGTCATTATCAGGCGCCTCAAATTGAGGTGTTTCTTCATCTTCAACTTCATTCCAATCTTGCTGACTGGTGATGGGCACTTCTTCGGGAGTAACTTCTTCCACATTCTTGACTGGCTTTTGTCTATTACGAACTGAGCGACGACCTCTTTTACGTCTTCCTTTGCCTCGGTCTCGACCTTTCCAGGCAGGAAGGTGGTCTAGTCTGTCGCTGTTCTTTGTTGAACGTCTCTGGGCAGAGTCAGATCTGGATGCATT